TCGAGGAAGAATTTCAGAACTGTAGCTGCGCCCATGGCTGTTTCAATCGAGAAGGAAACCCCTATCCCTGAACGCCCCGATACTTTTCTTACTGAATACGACGAGGCCACGGGAGGCATTTCTTCGGCCTCGTCCTCTGTTAGGGCTCGCTTCGAGAAGATGATTAGGGATGCTCAGGACAGCGTTTGCAAGGCGATTGAGGAGGCGGACGGAGGGGGGAAGTTTAAAGAGGATGTTTGGTCGAGGCCTGGAGGTGGCGGCGGTATCAGCAGGGTCCTCCAGGATGGTGCCGTTTGGGAGAAGGCTGGTGTCAATGTCTCTGTTGTGTACGGAGTTATGCCCCCGGATGCTTACAGAGCCGCCAAAGCTGCCGCCGGCGATCAGAAGCCCGGTCCCATTCCATTCTTTGCCGCCGGCATTAGCTCAGTTCGTAATTTCCCCTCTTCTTGTTTTGTTTGTTTTGTTTTGAGATATGGAATCTTGTTGATTTGCTTTTGACGCATTTTATGGATTATTCTCAGTTATGCTAAATCTTCAATTCAGCGTAAAAAGAAAATTGATCAACAAAAAGAAACTGCATGTTTCTTCAGAAAAAAAATTGTTCCTATGAATCAGTTGTGATCCCATGGAATGGAAGTGCTTAAATTCCATACTTGCATCTTCAGTTTCTGAGCTTCAGGATAGAATGCTAACAGTTATTAAGACCTGCACATAAATAGGTTTTGAGTGCGAAAGCACGGCCAGGGTTTTCTTAAAATACATGTAGAACCCGGGTTCTCATGAAAAGCATGTCTATTAATTTCACTGCAAATGCGCACCGCTGCATTCTATTACCACTAATGCATATGGAAGCCTTAATACGATGTCTTGTCTGATTGTTTTGCAGGTTTTACATCCTAAGAACCCGTTTGCACCAACTTTGCATTTTAACTACCGATATTTTGAGACTGATGCCCCTAAAGGTACAAATATCTCCTTCCATATGTTATTTTCACTTATGGATGCAATCTCACTTTTGTTTCCTCAGTATTGATTTGTTGTTTGTATGAGAATTAACTTTTTTAGGAGTGGAAAATTCGATGAAGCTTAATTATCATAGTGAGGCAGCCCTCACATGAGTTATTTTCCAGCACCTAGGAGTCAAGTTAGTCCATGAAATCAATCTATCTTGTTCACTTCAATGTCATTGTCAGCTTAAGTCTAATTTTAAACATTAAGTTTGATTTCTCGTCTCAGGTAGGAAGAGTGATCTTGGTCATAAGATACCATGTTCTACTAGTTCAGGTGTTTCAACTTAGAGTAAAATAAATTTTTTTATCCTTCATGTATATAAGCTAAGTTGTACTGGACATTTTAACTTTCGATTTCTTTGTGGGTCTTCCCCATTTTTCTTCTTTTAAATAATTATTACTCCAAAGTCAACTAGATTCAATGGATTTCCTCCATTGGCTTTGTAATTTCATAGTTTTGCCAATTCTGTTCTTGTATTTTAGTGGTTAAGAGCATAAAATGAAGAATCTTCCATTCCATACCCACAATATTGTACTTTCTTTAATGTTTTTATTCGCAGTAATTTGGTGTGTTAAATTACCCGAGAAATTTTCAATGCAGAAGGATGACTTTTCATTCATTCTCCATTTTATGATTTGTAGATGCACCTGGTGCGCCTAGGCAATGGTGGTTCGGTGGTGGAACAGATTTAACTCCTGCTTACATCTTCGAGGAGGATGTTAAGCACTTCCATTCGGTATATATGTGCTTGAGAGTCTCACTTATTTTGGTCAAAAATCTCGTTTCGATGGTCTTCTTTACATTTGCAAAGCTCTACAGTTTTCACCCTTTAAGTGTTACAGCAATGTCTATTATGTAATAAGCATCATTCTTGCGCTTACATATATCTTGGTATTTGACGATGTTAGTGCCATCTGTTGACCTACTTAAAATTTTTTTTTTTTGAATTGGAGCCTACATTTTTTTTGTTTGAGAGAACTATAATTGGTTGATATTCGTTTACTTTCCTGCTATATCTTTAACAATTTGGGTCATGTGAAAACTAAGGATTCGGTAAAATTTTCAAGAAAGAAAATGGTTTGTCAGAGCTCCTTGTATGTTTTCTAAACCTTTTAGTAGGGAATGGTTTTTTAATCAAATCGAATAATTGTGCTTTCTAGTTTCATTTTTACTACAATCCTTCTTGAGTGTTGTATGGGTTTTTCACTCAAGTTTTTATCTTCACAAGGAGCTACTACTTCTGTTATACTGTTTGACTAATGTGCAGGAGCAAAATATCATATATTTAGTGTTGAACTCAACATCCAATGTTTTGCTATTCCATGAACACATTTTGAATTTTGACCCGAGCTTTTTACTGGATTAATATGCAGCTACATCAACTTTACTTTTGAATAACTAAACAATATACTGAAGACATATCTGTCAGCAAATCTTCGAGTCCAGATTTTTATTGTTTTATCTGTTAATCTCACTTGTTCATCCATGCGATAACCTACTGCTTGTATAGGTACAAAAAAATACTTGTGACAAATTTGATCCATCCTTCTATCCTCGATTCAAAAAATGGTGCGATGACTACTTCTATATCAAGGTATTTCATTATTCTTATACTTCTAAATCATTTTTACACTATAGCGATGACCCCGTAGGATGTGGAATTTTTTTACTTTGTGTTTCTGACTAGTGACAAGTAATCCTTGCAACTTAAACACATTAATTAAAAATTTTCCTCTGCCCTTTCAATGTTATAAACATCATATGGATTCTTATCATGAATGTAAGTATAGCTGCAATTTTTATCTTAGGGACAGCTTCTTTCGTTCATTTGGCTTATAAAGCACTCATAACAAGCAATAGTTAGCAGAATATTTATTATTTCGCTTATGACCAACTGTCAAAGAAGCCCACGCTCACCTCTAGAATCTCCTTTTTGTGCCCGTTTGATTGCCAAGACATATTCTCTATAGCACTGGGATTGGCATCCTGTAAAGAAACCAAAGCTCTCAACCTTTTGGAAGTTAAAATTTTACTCATTCGTTGATTCATGTTGCAGCACCGAGGCGAAAGACGAGGGCTTGGAGGAATATTTTTCGACGATTTAAATGACTATGATCAGGAGATGCTTCTATCCTTTGCCACCGGTAATTTACTCTGAAATGCAAAACATATCCCCTTCTGTACACAAGTTTTTACTCTCACCCACTCATTTCTAAGATTCTGTTGCCTGCATTTCAGAGTGTGCCAATTCTGTGGTTCCTGCCTACATACCCATTATAGAGAAAAGGAAGGACACGCCGTTTACTGAACAGAACAAAGCATGGCAACAACTGCGCAGGGGCCGCTACGTGGAATTCAACTTGGTATGCATTTTGGCAATAGATTTATTTTTCTTGAAAACTTTTCTGCCAAGTTCCTTACCAGAAAACTGAAAATATGTTCTGAAATGGCAGGTTTACGATCGTGGAACTACATTCGGACTGAAAACAGGTGGTCGGATCGAAAGTATTCTGGTCTCTCTTCCTCTAACAGCTAGATGGGAATATGACCATGTAAGATCCCCAGACTGACATGAATTACTTGATGAAAACAAAAACATATTTCTGAATTCATTGCTTGCATATGCAGAAACCAGAAGAGGGAAGTGAGGAATGGAAGTTATTGGATGCATGCATTAACCCAAAAGAGTGGATCTAATATTTGCTTTTGCTTTGCTTTGAGTACTAAACATAGCTTCATGTGAGCAATATGGGTCCTTAAAGGTTACCCAATGCGGCGGCTTCTTTGCTGTACTCTATCTCCTTCCTCTCCTGGTTTTGCTTTTGTGTATGTTTTCTTCTAGATGGTTGTAGTGTAGCTTCGTCAGAATGATATATATGTAATTTAAATGTAGCTTTTGCAGATTAGCTGACTCGTTTGGAATAATTTAAATGTATAATTTCATTGTGTAAATGGATTTTTGCAGCCCCAAGGACAGTCTAGTCGGTAAAGATTTGAGATCTCTTGATCATATCGATTTAAAAGTCTCAAGTTTGAATCTTCCGGTGAGTTTAATATCAAAAACTCTTGATGTCTCTTGAGTTCGGGCCTTGGGGTGGGTTTGGGTGCCCCTAGATATAGGGGAGGAAAGCTCCGACCCCCAATTATTAAAAAAAATGGACTTTTTGCATATTCCTATTTAGGAGTTATTTAAGAAAACAAAGGTTCGGGAGTTATATATATATATATATATATAGTCTTTGATGTAGTACTTGAGCCAAAAACAAGAGTGTTTTTTGACACAGTACAAGTGTATTTTTATGTTACTTCAAGGAGAAATGCTTTTGAGCATGATATTCAGCGCTTTGGCAGTCGAAAGAATTCCAAAACATACTTTAAAAGTATTTTTGAAAATATATTTTGATGATTATTATACCCATCAGCATTTTGGTCTTATATCTTATATCCAGACAGAAACCTAAAATAGAGCTACATTAATAAAGTGTTAAAAACCTTAACACATACTACTTCATGCTATAAAGCAGTTGAGAAACAGAAAGGAGAAGGAAGAAGAATACCGATGAGAGGTAGTTGCGTTTGAAAATGGTTTAACAAGGATATTAAATTTTTTCATCGGTTTGATAGTACCTGTCAAAACTAATACTTTTTCATTGCCCAATTTGGTGTATTGCTAAATTAGTACCACCACCATTCTAATATAAGCAAATAATTTCTAAGGCTTGTCTCCACTTTCAAGCTCAAGTAGAACTAGTTCCCACAGACATTTTCATTTTAATTGCAAATTAAGCTCACAAGTTTTGTAGATAATAATGTATTACTTTTGTTTTTAGGCCTCCAATTTTCTCAGCTGTTGGTTGAATCCAAAACCTTCCACCAACTCGAAGAGAGTTCAAATTCGATGTAAACCCATTGAATACATAAACCTACAAGAAAAAAGTGAGTCCTCCGACACTCAAGTTAGTAAGTTAAATTGAGTAGTTGTAGTGTTTCAATTTCAGATTCATATATCCCTCGAAGTCGCAATCGAAGATCTCGTCACGCTTAGTTCGATTGACTTCAACTAAGTGTGACCAAACTTACTCTCCCAATCTATGAGTTCTCTTGGATACGTATTGAGCTGATTGTTTGCTCGTGAGAGTGTCTCGACTGCACATTCTGTGGTTCCTAGCGCTACACGTGGCGGCGTCTTTTTCCCCACAGCTACCTCTCGTTAGGTATCTTCTACTTCCTTTTTTTTTTCTCTCAAATGCTTTATAGCATGCAACAGTATGTATTTAGGATCTTTAACAATGCATTAATTCAACTGTGTATTTTGGCTTCAATTTTGTTCAAGTGTTAAGTTAAAAGACTCATCTTTAATTAGTTAGATTTATTGTTCTGCCTCAATTTTGTAAACTGCCAGACTATTCTTTTTTTAATTAATCATATTCAATTTTTTTTACTCTTATTTTTCATTAGTTTTATTCATTTTTTAATCAGTATTGTTCGACTTGATTTTTAGTTAATTTTATTTGTTTTTTGTTTTAGGCTTCCAATTTCCCAAAAATAATTTCTTTTTTTGTTTCAGTCTTTTAAGTTTCCAATTTTGCAAACTGTTAGAGTACTATTCATTAAAAATTGAGTAATATATTTTTTTTAGGCCTCCAAACTTTTTTTAACTATTAGATTGTGATCTTTAATTGGTTATATTCATTTTTGATTGGTGTTTCCAGACTAAACTGTTAGACTCTTTTATTTTTAATTAGTTTTGTTCCTTTTTTGTTATAGGCCTCCAATTTTCTAAATAGTTAGACTCCGATTAATAATTAGTTATATTCATTTTTTTAAAGTTGTTTTAGTCTTCAAATTTTGCACATAATGTGGATTGAATTTAAATACAATGATTATCTTATGCTATCTTAAAGCCATTTTTTCTTTTCTTTTTTACATTTACGTATATTACTTCTATGAATGCTAGTAGTGCTAATTTATTTGAACAACCCGCTAATGAGTCGTTGTTAGCTTAATTAATGTACCATATTTAGGTTAGAGGTACTATTAATTTATGTGATTAAATTGCTCCGACGAAGAAAATGTATTATTCACAAACTTTTGCTCAAAGAAAATGGATTTAGTTATAGGAAGGAACTTGTTGATCATTAGGAAATATTTGAAAAAATAATTCCTTGGTAGGTACCACCTAAAGTGGATGCAAAAAGAGAAATTTGATGAGCTCTCTCAATTGTTACCAAGGAGATTATGACAATCGATTTTTTAAATTTTGCTGTTTTAGTGGCGACTACATCTAATAAAATCTTCCATATTACTATGAAGCTCCATCGTCCAATTAAATGCATTTTCTTCGAGTAAAATCATGGTAAATAATACATTTCTTCATCGGAAAAATTGAAGCACCTAAATAGTATTTGTAGCCTAAATATGGTTCATACGAAATGACGAGAATATCGGTATTTTCTTATTTCTAATTTCGCCTCTCATTAAATTAAAAATTAATTTATAATATTGGTCCATTTATAATTACTCTTCCCTACCAAAACTTATACAAAATTAGATTATTTATCTTTTCGAGGATGCAAAAAAAACCATTTGTTCATCGGAACAATCTAGAAATTTGAACAATATCCCCGACCTAAGAACCCAGCGCGTATGCATGTTCTAACATTAAACAAAAATGAATATAACTAACTAAAAATAAGGGTAAAATACATGGGTTTTTGGAGAATAATTTTGCAAGAAGAGAAAAAACAATAGATAAGAATAAAATGGGTAAATACTTATTTTCACAAAAAAAAGTTAAAAAATCTATAGATAAGAATAAATGTTAAATTTTATAAATTGAATATTTGAACTAAATATTTTTAAAAAGTAAGAAATAAATAAATGCATGTATTTAAAAAATCAAAATGAAATAATAACCACTATACCAGATTTTATTTTTTTTAGGAAAAAAAAAACTATAATAGATTTCATATAGTGGCCCAAATTACATTAAATAGGAAGACGAAATGAAAATTAAATAACCCCCATTGTAAGTTGTAACTATCGAAGATTTGAATGAAGCCGAATACTTCTTTAAGAAGCCGTATAAAACGCCGTCGTTTCGATTCATAATTTTTTTTATATATAAAAATAACTAATTTAATTATCTAATTTGACCCCTAAATACATCTACATAATCTAGAATAGAATAGAATAAAATAAAATAAAATAAAGCATTTGAGAGAGAGGAAGGAGAAGATTCATACCGGATGAGAGTTGAGAGCCAAGGAAGTATAATTCTGCTGCCAATTAAGTTCCTAAAAAGATGAAATAAATTTATTTTTGGTATTTCTATATTTCACTCTTTTGTAGCTTTTTTTATTTTTTCTATTTTCATGTAATTTTTGTCCTTTTCCATTTTTTTTCGTATTTTTGTAATATTGTATTTTCTTTTTATTTTCCATTTTTCTATTTGTATGAATTTTGTCTTTTTTCCTTTATAATAGATTTGCTGCTTTTTTTCCTTTTCTTTTTTCCCCTAGTATTATTCAGAGATGCTCCTAATTAGTGGTCTGGCTCCCTCTAAGACTCCAATTTAAAATCAAATTGTTAGACTCTTGAAAGAAGAAACCCACCTTTAAGTTTGAAAAATAAAATGGATAACAAAAAAGTGGCTATAACAACTAACTATTTTTTAAAATACGAATATGATATAAATTTTCAAATTCTTATTTTAGTTAGATTTCTTGGAGCTTAAATGTATGTTTATTAACTAAACTTTTAGCAGAGTTTTTATTAAAAAAAAAAAAAAAAAAACTTTAATGGAGTTGACTTGAATTGAAGAACAGCGAAACTCTGGACCTGATGACGTGTGAATGTTCGTCCTTGAACTCTGACCTACTTACCACAATTAAGAATTATAATACTTTTGAAGATTGCCTTGTTTTGTTTGTGATATTAGAACTTTAAAGTTCACATTAGAATTCTAATTTTTAAATATTAAAAGTTTATGGATTGATATTGCAATTCAACTTTACATTTATAGATCTTTAAAGTAAAATGACTAAAACTTAATAAAAGGCGGCAGAAAGAAAAAAGAGAACAAAACAAAGGAACACCATGTTCGTCAACTACATTCAAACATGTGCTACCCGCGAGAAACAATATAGGAGTTTTCATTTTCTTCAGAGGATAAATCTCTCTCCCTTTGTAAGATACCTTTACAAGAGGTTTTGTTTAAAGATTTTAGGTACTATTTAAAGTAGGACATACATATTACTTTCCTACTTTGACTGGAGCGTAATTAGAGAGTAAGCTCTTAATAACTCTCATTTTCTCCCTCGATCCCCATCTTAGTCCAAACTAACGGAGCCTTACAGAGAGAGTGCAGTCTCAAGGAGCACTGTTGAGAGGAAGAATGTTTGGCACTTCTTCATTCTCTATAAGGTTCCAAGCCTTTCTTCAACATAGGTGATAATGAGCAAAGCATAGATGGAAGATATCAAACACGGGAATAAAAATAGACATGTTGACATGCTTGACATGGACATAGGGGGAAAAAGTCGATTTTCCCCCAATGTCGTCGACATGTCGACATGCCTTTTTTTTTTCTTTTTTTTCTTTTAAGATTATTTTATTTTCCTCCTCTTTCTACTATACCACTACCGTCTATAATTTCTCACAACCTCGATGATTGTAATCTTAGTCTGTTCAATTAATACAAAGTACAACTAATAAGATTTGAAATTTGCTTTATTGATAATTTCTAATCCAATATAGTCCTTAGTTACACAATTGAACAATAAAGATTGACATATATAAAGATTGAAATAATCATAGAATTTTTAAAAAATAAAATATTATTATATACAAATAGTGGTGAAACATGAAGTAGGAATAAGTAACTTAACGGAGGATCTAGTGCATTATCTTGATAACTTTGATATAAATTACAATAGTTCTCCCAAGTCATTCTACTGAAAGTTTTGAAGGGTAGTTGCTCAAATGAGTAGAATATGAA